GATCACGCCTATGGTTCATCTTATAAGGGTACATGTGAATTTTTCTAAATGTAGAATATAAATGTCTTAACACAATAACTAAGAAAATGACATGACAACTATGTTAATCAGTTTGATGAAAATATTTCAGATTGTATGTAAAAACAACACTGTACCCTATGGCAGTATTAATATACACAGCTATGATTTAAAAAAAAAAAAAAAGAAGAAGAAGAAGAAGATCACTTGAGCCCAAGAGTTTGAGGTTGCTCTGAACTATGATGCCACCGCACTCTAGCCTGGGGCAACAGAGTAAGACTCTGTCTCTAAAAAAAAAAAAAAAAAGAAGAAGAAGAAGATCACTTGAGCCCAGGAGTTCGAGGTTGCTATGAACTATGATGCCACCGCACTCTAGCCTGGGGCAACAGAGTAAGACTCTGTCTCTAAAAAATGTAAAGAGAGGGCCAATGATAGAACAATGCCTCCTATTTCACAATTTGTATACTTGGCTTTATGTACTTTTGCCACTTCTTGTGCTTTCCTCACAGTTACACAGTATTTTTTCTGTGGGAACTTAGAGGAGGGGCCTTATACTCTCTGCTATAGGGCCCCCAAGCACAGGGTGAACTTGTGCTGAGAACCAGTCACTGCTGCCTGCGAAAATATTTCCTCTCTCTCTCTCAAATGTGTCCTTGCCTTGGGAACCCATTAATGTTAATCTGGAAGAGTCTCTACCCTTCCTGCTTCTGTTTCCATGGGGGGGGCGGGGGGGTAATGGGGCAGGTGGGCAGATCTAGCTGGGCAGGAACTCAGGTGAGGCCAACAAGGCTCGGACCTTAGGGGGAAAACTTAAGGAGGTAACACAAAACTCGGCAGCCATAGTCAATAATCTTTTAATGCAATATTTTAAAAACTCAAAGTTAATGCAAAAGTATCCATAATGAAGAAAATATCAAAACTTTAAACAAAGCCAGGATTAGGGCGGCACCTGTGGCTCAAAGGAGTAGGGCGCTGGCCCCATATGCCAAAGGTGGTGTGTTCAAACCCAGCCATGGCAAAAAAAAAAACCCAAAAAACTGTAAAACAAAGCCAGGATTAAACTCAGCAGTATACTCCCTGAAAGGACTCTTCTACCCAACATTCACCCCAAGATTATGGCCCCAGGTCAATACCCCCAAAACCAATCCATAATATACTCAAAAATAAAGTGCTAGGTGCTTTAGAACCAAAAGATTTGAAGTTTTCTAAAAAGCATAAAGTTTTCAAAAACAGATTCTGGATCCAGGCAGCCAGGGCTCAAATCCTGGGAGATCCTGGGAATGACCTGGAGCAACTCGACTGTCCTTTTCTCATAGGTAATGCCAGAAATATTTAACAGCCCTTGTGGCACGGACCACATTGCACAGATGCATATCAGCTGCTTTGAGAGGGGAAATAATAATAGTGCCTTACATGGTTGCTGTGATTGTAATAGGAGCTGATTCATAGTCTGAGCTCAGAACCGTGTCTGGCCCCTGGTAAGTGCGCCAATTATGAGACACTTAAAGTATTAGCTACCTCAATTACAGTATTAGTCACCCCAAGAGCCCTACGCAGTGGGTATCATGTTTCCCATTTTCCAGATAAGGTAAGAACTTATGAAAGGGCACCTGATTGCCCGAAGTCGCCCCGTTAGCCCGGGGGAAAGCAAGGATGCAAACTTGGTTCTGTCCTTGCTCTTCTGGCCACCGTTTGCTGCCCACAAATAACAACCATGACGTGGACAAAATTTCACTTCTGTAGGATGGCTTCAGCCTATTTTTGGACTGAGGAGAGCACACTTTTAGGTGTTTTTTTTTTCCATTTCATCTAATTTTAAACATCTTTTTAAAAGCCACTTAAGGGGCCTCTAAGGCCCCTTCACGTCAAGCAAACGAGAAATGCAGAGGGGCTAATTAGAAATGACGCTCAGAGAAAAGCAGGTGTCGGCCAACAAAGAGATCATCATTCTCCGTGGTTACAAGGGCCCCGGCCACAGCAGCCCATGCTCAGCTGCCACCTGCCTCCTCTTGGCTTGTCCAAGGCACAGAATCAAAAGACAAGAGAGGAGGGAGGAAGACAGAAGAGGGCCAGGAGCCGCCTCGTTAGAGACTGGAACAGTCCCAAACGCTACCACCTTAAAGTTTGTCAAACTAAACAGAAAGAATTTTTTTTTTTTTTTTTTGAGACAGAGTCTCATTTTGTCACCCTTGGTAAAGTACAGTGTCATCATAGTTCACAGCAACCTCAAACTCTTGGGGTCAAGTGATCCTCTTGCCTCAAGCAGAGTAGCTGGGATAACAGGCACCTGCCACAAGGTCTGGCTATTTTTAGAGACAGGTTCTGGCTCTAGCTCAGGCTGGCCTTGAACTCCTGAGCAAAAGCAATCCTCCTGCCGTGGCCTCCCAGAGTGCTAGGAATATAGGTGTGAGCCACTATGCCCAGCCCAGAAAAAAAAAATTTTTTTTTGAGGCAGTGTCACTATGTCATCCTCAGTAGAGTGCTATGGCATCATAGCTCACAGCAACCTCAAACTCTTGGGCTTAAGCAGTTCTCTTGCCTTAGCCTCCCAAGTAGCTGGGCCTACAGGGGCCCACCACAATGCCCAGCTACTTTTTGTTGTTGTTATTGCATTTGTTGTTTTAGCCGGGCCAGGCCAGGTTCAAACCCACCACCCTCCATGTATGTGGCTGGCACCTTGCTGACTAAGCTACAGGCCGCCATCCCAGAAATAATATTTTATTTAAAAAAAAAAAAAAAACACACATACTGAGGAGCTGTGGGTGGAAGGAAGGTCAACTCCCGTTCTCACATTCCCCCTTAGGTTTTCACCTGTGAGTGCTTCATTCACCTTATGGGAGCCCCAGCCCCGCTCTCAGAATGCTGGAGAGCAGAGAGGCCCAAATCTCTCAGCCACCCCTGTGCCTCTGTTTCCCCCCAGGTCTCCCTGCAGTACAGCTCCAGTGGCAAGTGGCGCCACACCTGCGGAGGGTCCCTGGTGGCCAACAACTGGGTCCTCACAGCTGCTCACTGCATCAGGTACCTGCCCCTCCCACTTCTGGGCTCCCCTCTGGGAAGGGGGCCCAAGTGGCCTGTATCATACTGTGTAATTGACCATCTGCATGGACAACGTGCAAACTTTAGTTGATCTGTGGTTGGTGTGTTGATGGGTCAATACAGGGCATGGATTGAGTGTCTTATGCCAGGCACTGAGGGAGGATGAGAGGAGGGTATGGTCCAATCCCTGCCCTCTGAGTGTAGTAGATGCAACCTCTGGATCTGGAATTGGATTCCCTCAAGCAATTTAAATAACTTCTCCAGGCTTCAATACCATCATCTGCAAAAAAATGGGATAACAGAATTTAGTGTGGATTAAAGGGGCCTGGCACTTGGTAAGTGCTCAAGAAAAGTTAATTATAACGTACAAGTTTGAACAGCTACGTTCACAAACTTATCCTAGAAAAAGTGCCACATACCTCATTGCTGAATATCACCATGGTCACCTTTGAAGTCCTCCCTTTGGGAACCTATGCACTGATGCCAGCTCCTAGTCCACCCTTCAAAGCAAATTTGGAACTCTTTTTCTGAAATGACCATCAGATCTGTCATCATACAAAGAGTCTGACTACTAAGTTCATGAACTTGACACCATGCACTTAAACCAGCATCATGTACAAACAACTCAGTAAGATTTCACAACCTTGGTATATCAGTGTCTCGCAGCTATGTTCATGTCTATGTGTGGCAGTGTCTTGCTGAACGGCATTCATTGTTGTTGTGTGTTTCTGTGAGCCACACGATGACAGCTCTGATAGTCATTCCAGAAAAAGAGTTCCAAAATTGCTTTGAAGGGTAGACTAGGTGCTGGCATCAGTGCACAGCTTCCCAAGGGGAATACCTCAAAGGTAACGGTAGTGATATTCAGTAACAAGGTATGTACCGTGTTTCCCCGAAAATAAGACACTGTCTTGTATTTATTTTTTCTCAAGAAGACACACAAGGACTTATTTTCAGGGGCTGTCCTATTTTTATTAAGTATAATACAACAATCTACATTTATTCAAATACAGTTAAGTCATCTTCTTCTGGAACCTGACAGGGAGAGCTGACCTTGTTGGTGGGGCTGGCGCTAGTGATGCATGAACTCCTTTCCCCTAGCTGTTTGTACATGCGCAATAGGACTGGGGTTACCACATGTGCACCCGCCCAAGTACAAACAGCTTGGAGAAAGGAGCTGTGGCAGATAAAAGGTATTCCAGTCTTCCTGACAGCTCCGCACCTAAATGCAGATATGCTTCATAGCCACGCCCATCACTAGGTCTTATTATCGAGGTAGGGCTTATATTTAACAAATGCATAGAAATCCTGCTAGGGCTTATTTTAGGGGTAGGTCTTATTTTCAGGGAAACACAGTAGCACTTTTTCTAGGATAAGTTCCCAAACTTAATTGTCAGACCTTGTATATGCCAATTATAAAGGCCCCGGCAGGGTAGGGAGAGCGTGAAAAGAGGATTCTGCAACATTGTTCACAAGACTCTTCCTTCCCTGTGACTTCTGCTTGTCACATCAGCTGCAATTCACCAGAACTCAGGTTGGGTCAGTTTACCCCTTGCTAGGAGTGGTTCCACTCTCCTGCCTAATTTGCAATAAACTCTATGAGATGATGGGGAAAATGAGGCCTGGAAGTCAGGAGTCCTGGCTTCTGGTCCTGGTTTCTCACTGACTGTAGGACTCTGGATTAGTTATCTCTCTGTTTCTCCATATGAAAATGAGAGTTGGAAGGTTAAGTGGCTCAAGCGGCTAAGGCGCCAGCCACATACACCTAAGGTGGCGGGTTCGAATCCCCAGCCCGGGCCCGCCGAACAACAATGATGGCTGCAACCAAAAAATGGCCAGGCGCTGTGGCAGGCACCTGTAGTCCCAGCTACTTGGGAGGCTGAGGCAGGAGACTCGCTTGAGCCCAGGAGTTGGAGGTTGCTGTGAGCTATGAGGCCATGGCACCCTACCCAGGGGGACAGCTTGAGGCTCCGTCAAAAAAAAAAATAAACAGAAAATGCTCTTGAGGGCAAATAACTCCTGGTTCCCTCATTCGCTCTATAATAATACAGAAATTCAGTTATTGGGTGGCACCTGTAGCTCAAGCGGCTAAGGCGCCAGCCACATACACCAGAGCTGGAGGATTCAAATCCAGCCCGGACCTGCCAAACAATGACAACTACAGCCAAAAAAAAAAAATAGCCAGGCTTTGTGGCAGGTACCTATAGTCCCAGCTACTTGAGAGGCTGAGGCAAGAGACTTGCTTAAGCCCAGGAGTTGGAGGTTGCTGTGAGCGGTGACTCCACAGCACTCTCCCAAGGGCGATAGCTTGAGGCTCTGTCTCAAAAAAAAAAGGAAAGAAAGAAAGAAATTCGGTTATTATCACATTTGTATTACAATTTATAGTTAGTATGGAAACAATTATTATATGGTTATACGTATTATACCATATAGTTTATAACTCACTGCCTCTGGGAAAGAAAAATTCCCAAACCCCAACTTGTGGCTCCTGCAGCAGTCACTTCCTTGGGCCCATCCCCATCAATACCCAAAGCCAGGCCTCTGGGGGTGATGCACTAGGATGTCCTTGCCTTGGGGGGCAGCCAGAAACCCACCCTCTCCGCTTACTTGCCCCCCTTTCTTCCAGCTCCTCCCGTACCTACCGCGTGGTGCTGGGTAGGCACAGCCTCTCCACCCAGGAGTCGGGCTCGCTGGCCGTCAGTGTCTCCAAGCTCGTGGTGCACAAGGACTGGAATTCTAGCCAGCTCTCCAAAGGGTATGCCTGGGCACGCTTGGAGGATGAGGTTGTCGGGGGAACAGACAGGGTCTCCCAGAGGCGAGGGGAAGGAGCTCTGACCTCTTAAAGGTGGAGCCAGCCCCAAAGGTGCCCGGGTTGGGAGTCTGCCATAGGGAAGAGAGAAGCAAAGACTGCTCTGGCGACCTGGGTTTCCTGCTGGCTATGCCTGCTGGCCACCTGTCTCTCCAGGCTCTCCTTGACCTTGTATCTACTCCATGCCTGCAGTCTTACTGCAGACCCCAAGACTGTCAGTGGAGCAGGGCACAGTCTCTCTCTTCCCCACCCAACACAGCCTTCTACATTTTTAAAGATGCCCTGATAACCTGCCTGTCAGGGGTAACATACGTTAGCCTGGGGGTAATGTACACACAGGGTCCCAGAGCTCTCCAAAGCCCCCCACCCAGGGCTGGGAAAGTCAACCATTTCTTCATGCTCTTCCTCTTCACTGACCCAGGAATGACATTGCCCTGCTCAAACTGGCTAACTCTGTTTCCCTGAGTGACAAGATCCAGCTGGCCTGCCTCCCTCCTGCCAACACCATCCTCCCCAACAACTACCCCTGCTACGTCACAGGCTGGGGGAGGTTGCAGAGTAAGTAGGGGCTGGGAGGGGAGGGAGGAGACGTTACCTCACTCAATCCTAGAGTGTTTGGCTGCCTTGGAAAAGCCAGTTAGCATAGACTGACGCATCTGCCTGGGTTCAAACCCCAGGTCTCCCACATAATAGCTGTGTGACCTTGGGAAGGTTACTTAGCCTCTCTGTGCTGCAGCCCTCATCTGGAAAATGGGGACAATAATAGCACCTACATCAGAATTGTCACAATGATGGGAGGAATTGTGAGAGGCCCTTAGTGCCTGGCACATAGCAGCTCCTGGTGTTCGTTTTGTCACGGGTCCTATGGCAGAATGAGAGTTATGCTGACCACATGGCGTCTTCTGTATGGCCCAAAGCCAGAGTCCAGAATAGCATTTTCTCTGTGCCCTGAGGCTTCTGGAGCTCCATAAATCCCCTGGAGACCTCAGAAGATCCTTCATTCTGTATCAAAAACAGTCTCATGTGCCACCTGGTCTCACTGCTTAGAACCTGGATGAGCGTGTCTCTTTTTTTACTTAGACTCAGAGGGCAGAAATCCAGTGACAGCAGGCCACACGAGAAACAGAGCACCTGCCCTTCCCTTGAAAAATCAACAGAGGTTTGGAAGAGTTTAGAGAGGTTCCTGCAGATAAGCAATTGCTGTTTTCAGAATGGCATAAACCCAAAAGTATAAGTGACATGTTTTCCCAGAGAGACATCAGCATACATAGGCTTAAACAAATTCCTCTTGCCCTCTTGGCCGGCTTGTCTGCCAAAGCAAGGAGACTTGAAAGCCCAGAAATGAGCCATGATGGAAGGGTCATCTTAACACCTATCATGATATAAACACAGCCACCTGTTCGTTTCCACCAGAAAACACTGGGGAATTCATCTGAGAAGGCAAGAGCCCAGGGAGGGTCCAAATGCTTGGCTTTTGGCCCAGCCCTGTTGGTCACTGTGTAACACTGGACAAGCCCCTTGGGAACCTCAGTTTCTGCATCTGTACAATGCAAATACTGTGGGTGAAAACTAAAAGAGATGGTCCATGGCAGAGTGCTTTGTATCTTGCAAAATGTTATACGAGTATTAATTACTTATTAATTGCCTTGGGCAAGCCACTTCTGGCTTCAATACTGCAAATGAAGAATTATAATAATATTAATCCTCTCCATTGGTAACAGTGGTGATGGTAATGGAGATGATGGTGGCAGTGTCACTGGGGCCATTAGGAAAGCTCTATCTTCACAGTGCCAGAATATTTTTCCCAAGTAGGAAGTCTCAAATGCCAGCAGCCTCACCGTCATAGTTAAGATACGTGACAGAAACCAATGGAGCTTGCTAAGCAAAAAAGGGAATTTAAGGATGTAAGAATCTCAACCCAAGGGTAGAAACATAGCCAACCTTCAAGAGCAGGTAAGACTCAGGCACTGGAAGCCTGAAAGAAAGTCCATCCCATAAAATTTCTTTTCTTGATGGGTCTACTTCAGCTCCCAGGTTTACACCCTCTCTAGCAGGTAACTCTTAGTTTCCATTCCAAATTCCCAGGGGAAGGAGCTCATTGGCTTAGCTTGAGTCAAGTGTTCACCCCTGAACCAATCACCAGTGGCCAGAACACTAACCAATCAACTGTGTAGTCAGATAAAAACCGTGGCTGCTCCCACTGTAACCCTATGGATGGAAGAGAGTAACAGGGGCCAGAAAGAAGAGGCTACAGCCTGAGCAAGAACAAGATGCCATCTCCACAAAAGATTAAAAAATTAGCTGGGCACCATGGTGTGTGCCTGTAGCCCCCAGCTACTCCTGAAGCTAAGGCAGGAGGATCACTTGAGCCTAGGAGTTTGAGGCTGTACTGAATATCTCCATGAGGCCACTCCGCTCTAGACCAGGCAACAGAATGAGACCCTGTCTCAAAAAGGAAAAAAAAAAAAGGGAGCTGGACAAAAAGCCCAGGAACCCACTACTTCCATTTTTCATGCCTGTAATGCCCTCTCTCTGCTCATTCAGCCGGTGGGGCTCTCCCTGACATCCTGCAGCAGGGCCGGTTGCTGGTTGTGGACTACGCCACATGCTCCAGCCCTGACTGGTGGGGCAGCACCGTGAAGACCAATATGGTCTGCGCTGGAGGCGATGGTGTGATCTCCAGCTGCAACGTGAGTACAGAAAATCGGGTGCCCCCATCACAACAAGATGGGGATGGGGAGAGGCTCTCGGACCTCTGGGATCCATCCTCCTGCCTCCTGGCAGAAACACCTAGAAATAGCTCTGGACATATCTCCCTGACGTTTGGCCTTGTGGTCCCCAGAAAAGATGTCATGAGAATCTCCTTGTAGTGTCCGCCCCGCTCAGTGCTGGGAAGTCCTTCCTTGGATCTCATCAAGGCCTCTCATACCATCATCCTCTTATTCTTTCCTCCATGTAGGAATGGAAACAACGGGAGGTATTGTCTGGGTTAAGGCCTGTCTGGTTTATCTGGGAAATTAATCTCATTAATGGCCCAGGGTGACTGCTCAAGGTAGCTGCCGCAGAAGCCTTCCTGGAGACAGTGCCTTAACCAAAAGGAATTGCTGTGGGATGGACCTTCTTCCATAGTGCAAAGTGGGACGGAGTGGGAAGGGGCTCCACACCTTTCAGACACACTGTGTCCCTACACTCTGCCCACATAGACAACCCCCCAGTCCCTGGAAATTCCTTCTTTGTGGGAGGAAACGGCCAGTGGTATTAAGAGACTGGAAGCTCCAATCTGGGGCGTGTTCTCAGCCCATTCACTCATCTCCTGGACAACCTGAACCTTGCGTTTCTCCTCTTCAGGGGGCTGGGAATACTAACAGTACTCATAGGTCAACCTCGTGAGGTTCTGTGAAGATGAAATGAGGTAAGGCAGAGGTGCCCAGCCCAGCTCCGGGTGCACGAAAGGAAGAAACTTTAGGTCTTGTTGGTGTCATGGCAGCACCCTGAGCTGTGACCACAGGGCTGGCTTCAGAGGGCAGGGCAGCCCACCGTAGAACAACAGAAACATCATGAGAACAAGGGTTCTGATGGGCCATCTTCCTCAGGGGGACTCCGGCGGGCCACTGAACTGCCAGGCAGCTAATGGCCGGTGGGAAGTGCACGGCGTGGTCAGCTTTGGGTCCACGCTTGGCTGCAACTACTACCACAAGCCCTCTGTCTTTACGCGGGTCTCCGACTACATCGACTGGATCGAATCGGTAAGAACCAGATGAGCCCTGAGCCCCATGGGCACTGCCCTGCTCGCCTGGCCCTGGAGCCCCGTGCCTACCTAGGGCCTCAGAACGCCTCCTTCCTCCCGAGGGGTAGGCGGGAGGCCCCCAAAGTTTCTGTAGGGGTAAAGTTAAGTGAAAAGGAACATACTCCTCGGGCATCAGTGGGATATTTTGTTTTTGCTTATCAGTCTGTAGACCCAGACTCCACCAAACACAGCTATCACCAAATCTACCTGCAAAGCCCCAAACCTGATATTTTGAGACCTCTGTAGCCTTGTCAGTTCTCCTGAAGGATCCCATCATTACTCTTCCTGGTTTGCTCAAGACTTCCAGTTTTAGACAGGGATAGTCCCAGACACATGGGGTGGAGTTGGCCCCCCTCATTCTTGCAAATGTAAACTCAGAGAGCTGTCTCCTGCGAGCTTCCTTCCACACCAGCTCAATTTCTTTTTTTTTTTTTTGGCCAGGGTTGGGTTTGAACCCACCACCTCTGGCATATGGGGCCAGTGCCCTACTTATTTGAGCCACAGGCGCTGCCCTCAATTTCTGTATATATTTTTACAATGATCACACATTTGTAATAACCATAAATTTTTTTTTTTTTTTTTTTGAGACAGAGTCTCAAGGTGTCACTCTGGGTAGAGTGCTCTGGTGTTGTAGCTCAAAGCAACCTCCAACTCAGGCTCAAGCGATCCTCTCAGTTTTTCTATTTTTAGTAGAGACAGGGGTCTCACTTTTGATCAGGCTGGTCTTGAACTTGTGAGCTCAAGCAATCCATCCACCTCGGCCTCCCAGAGTGCTAGGATTATAGGCATGAGCCCCTGTGCCCAGCCTATTAACCATAAAATTATTAATTAGGCGGCACCCATAGCTCAGTGCATAGGGCGCCAGCCACTTACACTGAGGCTGGCAGGTCGAATCCAGCCTGGACCAGCTAAACGACAATGACAACTGTAACAAAAAAATAGCCAGGGGTTGTGGAGAGCACCTGTAATCCCAGCTGCTTGGGAGACTGAGGCAAGAGAGTCACTTAAGCCCAAGAGTTTGAGGTTGCAGTGAGCTGTGACACCACAGCACTCTACCCAGGGTGACATAGTGAGACTCTGTCTCGAAAAAAAAATTATTACTTAAAAAAGAGTAACAGCAGACACCAGTATTAAGGAGGAGCCTGGACACAGCAGCAGGCGGGGGAAGCAGCCACAGCAGCATCATTACAAGAAAGGGAGTCCTAGGGGAGGGCAGAGGGCCTGGCCCAGTGATGGACGCAGGGAGGGAAGAAGAGGATGCTCTATGCCCATCGGGGAACACGTTTTTAACCATCCATCCCTACCATTGCCACCATCTCAGTTTCCTCTTCTATAAGACTGAACTTGAACTAGACCATTAGGGGCCACGGCACAGGAGAGTTGTGCTGTTTGTGGCAGAGCCCCTGAAGAAGAGGAGGGCTGGCATCTGACTGCGTAAAGTTTACTTGCAGAAGACTGTTACATTGAATTAAGCCGACACTTAGGAAAACAAAGATGAAGCTGCAGCAATGAGCATGTGGTCACACAAGGGAAACTACTCTGTCAAAATAAGCAGGTGGCTCTTTCCAGGGTTTCCCTTTAATATTTGCCAGCGTGGCGTTCATTTGTCTGTCTGCTGGCATTTCTTTACCAACAAGTGGTCCCAGCCATCAGAGATTCTAAAAGTTTGTTGGAGGAAAATAGAAAATCGAAAAAAAACCAGAGTAGCCATTGATTGGCTTTTTTTTTTTTATATTTTGTTTCTTTGGTAAATTAGGGGAAAGCCAGGATTTCATTTTGGTAGAGGGAAGTCTGAGTCTAGCAACTGAGGTACTACCAGCATTTCAAAGGCAGCCGGCCTGCGGGGAAGGAAGCTTAGAGGTCTTTTCCCAGCCAAATCCTAGGACTCTTTTTCAGCTTCAGCTGCTGCATGAATCACCATGCAGCTGGTCCTGGTAGCACCTTGGGGGCTCAAGCAGGGGCCAGGGACAACTGTCTTGATTCATCGTCCCAGCATCAGCTGTCCCCAGCAACAGCAGAGCAGGCCAGATCTGAAAGCACGGCCAGATGGCAGCAACGATCAACCAGGAAAGCAAGCCCTGCAAGGCAGCTGGGCGGAGGCCCTGACCACGGGAGGTGGTCAGGGCAGGCACAGATGCCTGGTAACAGGTTCCAGAAGTAGAAGAGCCAAGTGACCAGTTGTCCTTGGGTGGGGGTGGCCCCCAGCAGCTGCAGAGGACCCAATGAAATCTCTCAATGGTCCCAGCCCGGGGATACTCCATGTGCAAGTTGGAGTCACACACACCTGCAGCCCTGCAGTGGGAGCACCTGCCTGGATAAACTTAGGTGACAGGCCAAGGTCAGGAAGCTGCCAACAAAGTATAAGAGCAGAGAAGCTTCAGGAGGAGACAAGTGGCCAAGGGCATTCGTCCTTTCAACAAATGTCTGCTGAATGACACCAACGTGTGAGCCTTTAGCAATCACTAATTTTTTTTTTAGAAGGTAATATATACTCTTTGTAAAAAACTAAAAGAGCATAAAAGTGTATCTAGTAAAAAGGCAAAAGTCCTCTCTAGAAGGCATAGATATGCTGTCTCGTAACCAAAAATGAGGATCTTACTCCTTTTTTTTTTGAGACAGAGCCTCAAGCTGTCCCCCTGGGTAGAGTGCTATGACATCACAGCTCACAGCAACCTCCAACTCCTGGGCTCAAGCGAGTCTCCTGCCTCAGCCTCCCAAGTAGCTGGGACCACAGGCGCCCGCCACAACACCTGGCCATTTTTTTTTTTTTGGTTGCAGCCATCATTGTTGTTTGGCGGCCGGGGCTGGGGATTCAAACCTGCCACCTTAGGTGTATGTGGCTGGCGCCTTAGCCTCTTGAGCCACAGGCGCTGAACCAGGATCTTACTCTTCAAACTGTTCTGCAACTTGGCTTTTCACTTACCACCCTATCACATTTTACATGTCAGTACATATATGTGTCATTTTTTTGAACAGCCAAATAGTACCTATAGTATGAATATGATTGACACCTGCCCCTGTTTCTTATTTTTGACTCTTACATGGCTGCAGTGAACATTCTAGGACATAATTTTTGCCCAGCGGTCTCAATATCTGTGCTAATGGTAGCTTTACTGGATAGTCAACTTAGCATATTAAACTGTTTAATAGATTATGCTAAATAGCCTCTGAAAGGCTATGCGTGGTGGCTCACACTCTAGGAGGCTCAGGCAGGTGGATTGCCTGAGCTCAGGAGTTCAAGACCAGCCTGAGCAAGAGTGAGACCCCATCTGTACTAAAAATAGAAAAACTAGCCGGCCGTGGTAGTGGGCACCTGTAGTCCCAGCTACTTGGGAGGCTGAGGCAAGAGGATAGCTTGAGCCTAGAAGTTTGAGATCGCTGTGAGCGATGATGGCACCACAGTACTCTACCCAGAACCAGAGAGTAAGACTCTGTCAATAAATAAATAAAATTTAAAAAATAGCCTCTGAAGCCAGGTTGTGGCCCCACCCAGAATAGATGACAGTGCCTTGCAAACAGCAGTTTTGGTTTGAGTAACAAATGAAATCTAAAAGCATGCCCATCCGCATATTTGGCATTTAATTTTTAGGGGTTCACAGACATCCCCCACCCTAAAACCCTAACAGGATCCAAGCTAAGCCCCTCTTTCCAGGGAGACTGTAACAGGTTAGTGGAAAGCAATGATCACATCTTTTCCTCCAAAATATCATCAGAGCTCCTCAGGCAGGAGGTGATCAGTGCGGCTTCTGGCTGCCTGTGACTCACATGAACAGCACGGCCTGGAAGGACAAAGACAAGCAACTGCCAAGCTCCGCTCTGCTGTCTGGTTAACCTGATTATTTTGTATGTGCCCTGCAGGTGATAAAGAATAACTAACCAAAAGAAGTCCCCGGGACTGTTTCAGACTTGGAAAGGTCACAGAAGGAAAATGATATTATAATAAAGCAATAACTACGTGAATCACATCGTGGTCAGGGTCTTTTTTTTTCTTTTTTTTTTTTGCAGTTTTTGGCTGAGGCTGGGTTTGAACCCACCACCTCCAGCATATGGGGCCAGCACCCTACTCCTTTGAGCCACAGGTGCTGCCCCCGTGGTGAGGGTCTTATTAGCAAATCATCCTAATATCCCAGGCCCTAAGACCAAGAAAGAGGCTGGGGTCTATAGGTTTAAAAGACCCCAGGAATGGGGCCTTCCCGGAGAAGCTCAGCATCTCACTATTACACACTATGGTCACACTGTGGTCCAGCAGGGACCTTGGCAAGCAAGGTACACGGGAGGCATTGGGCTCAACTCAGGAGACCTAGGCACTAGCCAAGCCTCTTTGTTGGATAACTGCTCCCTTGAATAGGAGAACTAACCTCCCTGAGCACATGGTTCCCACGCTAGTTGCCTTCCTGGGATGGGACAGGGATCGAGTGAAATAAGATATGGAGAAATGGAGCCAGGCATGGTGACATATGCCTGTAATCCCAGCTACCTTGGAGGCCGAGGCAGGAGGATTGCTGAGCCCTGAAGTTTGAGGCCAACCTGAGCAACATAGCAAGACCCTGAAAAGACATGGGGAAATGTTTTTGGAAAAAACGAAAAGTCTCCTTTATGTGGAAGAATAAAGAGTTGGAGCAAAATGAGGAGGGAAAGGCAAAAGAGATCCATATTCGTCTAAGATTTATTTTTTAAGAATGATACAGAAAAAAATTAACAACGTTGAAAACTTCCTTTAGAACTCACAGATTCCAGCTGTTCAGACTCTAGAAGGCCCCAACTTGTTGATCTAAGAGAGATGTTGGTTTGTTTGTAGCCAAAAATCTCTACAGATCAGTGACTCTTGAGTGGGGTCAATTTTGTTCCCCTGGGCACATGTGGCAAAGTCTGAAGACATTTCTAGTTGGTACAGCTCGGGGAGACTTGCTTCTGGCATCAAGTGGGTAGAGGCCAGCAATGGTGCTGAGTAGCGTTACACAGAGGATACCCACACACAGGGTAATCCCCGTCACAGAAAACACAGGGGCCACAGACCACAGGGGCCCAGCACCAGCCACGGGTGAACAGGCTACGAGATATCCATGGCCTTCTCTCACCCCTCCTCCTCCACTGCTCAGCATTTGGGTCCAATCTGGAAGCTGTCATTTGCCCGTCTGTCACAGCAGGGAAAGGTCAGACCCTGTATAGACTGCAAAGTCCTTGAGTTGTGGGCAAGTCCCAGCCTCAGCCACCTCTAGGCCCGGAGCAGGAAGGTTCTGGAGTACACGATAAGGCACGATGAGGTGCCCAGGCCTCACTGCGTTTTAAAGAAAAATTTTTTCCGAAGGAAACTGATATAACCAGGCATCTGTTTGTAAATCCCTTTCACTGAAACATCATTAGCAACCTGTGAAAATATGACCACGGAGAGGTCTGTGAGTTCAGATGTCTTGATTAAAGGATGAATTCAGAAGACGGGCTGGGGGCATGTCCACTAAATCCACATTTGAAAAGCAGGTCTAACTGCAACCTCCTTAAGCAGGGAATTTAAACAACAGGTCCCTCTAAGTTTAAAAAAGCTCAGAATTCAGCTAAGCACCCGTAGCACAGTGGTTATGGTGCTGGTTATGGCACCAGCCACATGCACAGAGGCTGGCGGGTTCAAATCCGGCCCAGGTCAGCTAAACAACAATGACAACTGCAACAAGAAAATAGCCGGGTGTTGGCTCGGCGCCTATAGCTCAACGGGCTAGGGCGCCAGCCACGTACACCTAAGGTGGCGGGTTCGAATCCCCAGCCCGGACCCGCCAAACAACAATGACGGCTGCAACCAAAAAATAGCCAG